GAGATGGGGTTTCACCATGTTGACCAGGATGGTCTCGATCTCTTGACCTTGTGATCCACCCGCCTCGGCCTCCCAAAGTGCTGGGATTACAGGTGTAAGCCATGCCCAGGCTAAAATATCTCTTTTTAGATGACAGGGCTTTTTTATTTCCTTATCCGTTTTTTTTTTTTTTTTCTTGAGATGGAGTCTTGCTCTGTCACCCGGGCTGGAGTGCAGTGGTGTGACCTTGGCTCACGGCAACCTCTGCCTCCTGAGTTCAAGCAATTCTCCGGCTCAGCCTCCTGAGTAGCTGGGATTATAGGAGCACACCACCATGCCCGGCTAATTTTTGTACTTTTAGTAGAGACAGGGTTTTACCATGTTGGTCAGGCTGGTCTGAAACTCCTGACCTCATGATCTGCTCACTTAGGCCTCCTAAAGTGCTGGGATTACAGGCGTGAGCCACCATGCCCAGCCATCACTCCTCTCCTGACTACAGGTGTGATCCCAGTGATCTTTGGAAAAAAGGCACTGAAACAACCATGATTTAAGTTTTTGGTATTATTAATGCATGAGAAATTGGTTTTGTGGGAAAAAGTAATAACTATATTAAGAATAAAAAATTAAAAATTCCTAGCCAGGAGCAGTGGCTCACACCTATAATCCCAGCACTCTGGGAGGCCAAGGCAGGTGGATCACAAGGTCAAGAGATCAACATCATCCTGGCCAACATGGTGAAACCCCATCTCTACTAAAAATATAAAAATTAGCTGGATATGGTGGCACATGCCTGTAGTCCCAGCTACTTGGGAAGCTGAGGCAGGAGAATCACTTGAACCCAAGAGGCAGAGGTTGCAGTGAGCTGAGATTGTACCACTGCACTCTAGCCTGGTGACAGAGTGAGACTCTTGTCTCATAAAATTTTTTTTTAATTCCTAAGGATGCACTGGTACAGTGGCGAAAAATAAAAAATAAAAAATAAATTCCTAAGGAAAATACTTGACCTTATATGCAAATAATATTGACTCAGAATATATGAGGATTAACTTAATAAACTTAAAAACTTAATCTGAAAATCTATAATTGCAATGGAATATTTTAATATATCTTTGTACAAAGTGAAAGAGACAACAATTGATAGCATACAAGTTATTTTAAAACAGTTAATAAAATATTTCTAAGAAATATCTATGGAAGCTTTTGTTCAATAAAAACGGACATAGTTTTTAATCACATTCAATGAAACAAAACTGAAAGTATAATGAGATTACATTCATCTGTAATAAAACACTGACAATTAGGAAGGTGCTTATTCTTGTGCTGTAGGACTGGGTAAGTCCATTCACTGCACAGTGCAGTAGAGGAACAAACACCCATGCAGTTCTTTTTGACTGCATCGTTGTAGTTGTCATGGTGGAATCAGAAACACAGTCACTGGTACTGTTAACAAAACATGGTGTTTACATAAATAATACCTTCGATAAATTCAACCTAGAGATGAGGTGAGTCAGAGCATCAGAGAATATTCCCAACCTTAAGAGTCTAAATAGTTGCCTGGTGGACACATTAGAGTTTCTAGGAATATCTAAACTGCAGTGCATATCTGATAACTTTTGGAGGCATTCTGTGGAAAACCATATCTTTGAAAATATGGCAGTTGGGGCCAGGCACAGTGGCTCACGCCTGTAATCCCAGCCTTTTAGGAGGTGAAGGTGGGCGGATCACGAGGTCAGGAGTTTGAGACCAGCCAGGCCAACATGGTGAAACCCTGTATTTACTAAATACAAAAAAATTTAGCTGGGCGTGGTGGCAGGTGCCTATAATCCCAGCTACTTGGAAGGAGGCAGGACAATTGCTTGAACCTGGGAGGCAGAGGTTGCAGTGAGCCAAGATCGTGCCACTGCACCCCGGCCTAGGCAACAGAGCAAGACTCCATCTCAGAAAAAAAAAAGAAAGAAAGAAAGAAAGAAAATATGGCAGTCAAGCAGTTAGTGGTGGTTCTAAGAATACTCTCAATTAGCAGGGCAAAGGATCAGGAAAATGTGGTGGAAGCAGGTGTCCCTGAAGCTCCCATGCATCCATCTGTCTCCACATACAGTGGCTATAAAACCTGACTAATGCTTTCTTTACTTCTGCCTTCCATATCTCCTGCAAGTAGGCTATTAGTGAATTATACCGTGGAGCCATAAAAGGAAATAGAAAACATAGGTCAAAACATTACCCATGTTAACACAATCTAGGACAGCCATTTCCAGCTATAGGTTATATGGTTCCATCTCAGGTCTATCTTATTACTGCAAAGTCTATTATCCAAATCACAGCTAGAAGGAATTACAAATAGCAAAGAACAGAAGATGAAAATAATAATTCCAATGAGAGTCTACTATATGATAAATTTTGCATACTCAAAAATTTATTATGATTATTTCTTATCATGAAAAAATAGAAAAAAGGATACTCTGCCCTCCTCTAAAAAAGCTTCGTTTGGTCAGGAAGAAAGATGAAATACATATAATGATATCTAGTACCTGCCACATAAGGCCAGTAGGAAATCCTAAAGATTACCAAATTGTTATTTTTTGATGGCCCCTTACAGCACAACTAAAAATATATATATAAAAATCTACTAGCTTATTACAAATACACTTCAATTCACTCATGAATCTAACAGACTTCAATATGGAAAGACAAAATTTCAGCAACTCATTTAATGAAAAAATACTATCAATACAACCGTTTAAGAAGAGCTTACAGAATTATCTCATCGCAATGTTCTTTTGTGAAAGCAATAAATAGAAATCCATAGTTCAGAGATCCACTTTCAGAATGAGTAACTGATAATACATTTATAAGTTTTATACCATTTCTGTCGTGTGAATTTTCTAGAACAATATACATGAATTAATTTGCATCAGGCTTTCCCATATTATCTACATTTACATAATACCTCCCTATTGGGAGTTTCAATATGAGTTTGAAGTTTCACACATAAGGGAGTATTCACATAAGCATTTGTTAAAATTGAAAACATTGTTATTTCTCACTTTTATAGGATTTCTATCCAGTCAGCATTCTCACATATAAGTATGTGGGTCAACTGAAGGCTTTCTCACAATGCCTATATTTGAGAAGTCACTTTCCAGTACAAGTTTGTTCATGGTTTCCAAGTAAACTGAGACAAAGGTTTTCCACATCCTTTACATTTATAGGCTTTTCCAGGTTCTTTACATTTTTAGGTTATAAATTCTTTACGTTTATAGGGCATATGAAAATTCCTTACATTTCATATGCCTTCTCGTGGTCCTCAAATAGTCATATGACCATTGAAGGCTTTTCCACACTGCCTACATTTGCAGGGTTTTCTGTCCAGTATGAATGCTTCCCCATATTCACACCTAGAGAATTGAAGATATTCCCATGTCTTACATTCATTCATAGGGTTTCTCTGAAATATGAATAATTTCATGTCTTCAAAAGGAAATGGGGGCTGGGGGTGGTGGCTCACGTCTGTAATCCCAACACTTTGGGAAGACGAGGTGGGTGGATCGTCTGAGGTCAGGAGTTCGAGACCAGCCTGGCCAATGCGGCGAAACCCCATCTCTACTAAAAATACAAAAATCAGCTGGGCATGGTGGTTCACACCTGTAGTCCCAGCTACTCAGGAGGCTGAAGCAGGAGAATCGCCTGAACCCAGGAGGCAGAGGTTGCAGTATGCTGAGATCACACTACTGCTCTCCATCAGGGCACCAGAGTGAGACT